GAAGCACCGACTTGGCGATTCCCATTGCTGGCCGATAACAGTACTCATATCCGTTGCGTCTATTGTATACACATTCGTATCCGTCCCGCTTCTCGCGGTGAAAAGCATACAGTCGCGAAGAAACGAGCATAGAGTAAGTGGCCAAATGGCAAGTACCGCTGTTCGTCACACGACCATCAAAAGATCAAGTCCACGCGACAGAAACACAAAGACGCAACGCTGCAGCAGCTGTACTAGCGAAAAAATCGACCTCGAAACATTTAGCCCGCACCGCCTCAGCATCATCGTCGCGGTGACCTTTGCACTAGTCATGTCTTACGGGCAAGCAGCAGACTGCCAACGTGGGCCTATGAGACATTACGCTGAGATCATTTGCAATTCCAGCGGTAAATGCTCTATGGAATTCGGCAGAGAAATCTTGTTCAACGAGAACCGTACCGGGTTAAAACTCTACGGTACCTTAGCGTATGTGCCTCATCTGAATGAAGTTGAAATCACGGTCCCACATGGAAGGTCGTGGACCACGGTGTCAAGTTGGCTCCCCGATTTCAGCGTTCCCGCTTTCAGACCACTTGTGGCGACAGCATCAGTCACTGGCGGTTTGGCTCAGCCGCGCTTCTCGGCGTCGAAACATCTTTATCGGATCAGTTGTTATCCTCTATGTACTCCTAATTCTGTTCTCACGCAAAAGGTAAAGCGTCTGAAACTCATAGCTTAAGAGTTAGTGAAAGGTTAATCTAAAGCTACTATATTGGATCCAGATCATAGGCTGCCAACCTTAGTCAATATCTGCGACTCGTTGCTCACTGGCCATTCTATAGCTGTAGTCGTCCAATGTACAGTTTCAATCGATCAGCGAAAAACTAGGGCCCAGACACTCTTTTTGTGACACCTGTAGTGAGGCTGTAGCTTCATGGTCACCACTCCAAGAAATCATTCTCCTCGATCATGGACGAAGTGGACGTCGCTCTGCATATTGAGCCTCTCGCTGACGCCATCAAAGACTTGAAGGAACAACTCACCTCATTCGCTATGACTCTGTCTGCTAAGATCGACTCGCTTGCGGACATACTGACTCGACGATCGGAAATTCTCAATCAGAAGATGGAACTGCTCCTGGAAAGAACGCAGCCGAGATCCAACTGTGTGTTCTGTCCAATTGACGACAACAAAGATTGCCATCCAACTGGAAGATGCTGCCGTTATCCTGGAAGATGCTGCCGTTATCCAGATGCTGTGTCGCGCGCTGTGCGAGCCAACAATCTCGGACTCTGTAACCGATGCCTACAACCGAGGCATAACGAGGAATGCGGAATTCTCTGCACTTTCTGTGGACGAGACCATAATGTCTTGCTGCCCCAACAAGTTATCCCATGCAAGCACCTCGGCAAAAAGAAGGAAGTTCTGAGCCTTCCCCGGCGGCGGAGAGTGCACTGGTGATTCTTCACTAGCGTACTTTCTGCTCAATCGCCACCACAGTCGACCACTATTCCCCCCTCTGCACCCGCCCGTTATCGTCACTTCCTTCGGCTGATATTCTGCATCTGCTGATACTCAACTTTTTCGCCTCGATCGACGTATTCCTTTCTGCCGCAGTGCCGCATTCGTCGACCTTTATTCTGCACGTCACCGATTCCTGCTGCACGCCACCTTATTCATTTCCCCTGCGGAATGGAATGGCTAGCAGTGCCAGTGGAGTTGCGGTGGTTTGTGGTTTCAATGGCACCTTCGATCAAGCCCTATGCAGTGCGCCCGAAGCCGACTGGAAGATATGTTTGATATTCTACGCTCTCTATTGTTTGGTTGTATGATTAATTGTGTTATTCTTCGGTAGTTAGTTCATGCCTTTCCCGCGGGCGGAGTGTCGTGGTCAACCACGACTTCTCTATTTTCCCATCTCTTATCGTTGGCTTATTGTATCATCATATACTCATTCGGTAACATTCCTCTCGTTCTTATCCCGTCACATGTGCTGTTCTTAGTTGACCATCTGTGAATGCACCTGTAACATCTGTAATGTTTAGCAACGTATATAAGCGCTTGGAAATATTGTAGCATGCCTTTTGGCTGAATAAACTGCTGCCACTGAACGATCGACACA